GAAAGAAAGAAAGAAAGAAAGAAAGAAAGAAAGAAAGAAAGAAAGAAAGAAAGGGAGGGAGGGAAGGAAGGAAGAAAGAAAAAAAGAAAGGAATGAAGGAAGAAAAGAAGGTAGGTAGAAAGGAAGGGGATCTCTGAGTCTGTTTCTGAGTAAATCCCAACTTTCTCTGCCTGACAGATGTGGAATGGAGCACAGGACACAGGAAAGATCCCCCCTCCACTCAGGTGATGTGTAGAGAAGACTGGGGAAACAGGCAGAAATCAAACATAGGTTTCTTATTTTTTGCCCCATCCCCAACACAATAGAAGGCAGAGGCTCTTGGGTCAAGGTGCCAGGGAAACAGACTGCTCCATGGATTATATACGTTCCCTCTCTCTCCTCATTCCCATCCTCCCACTACTTCCTACCATATGCACTCACATAGATATATGGACAGCAAGGAGATCAAATCAGTCAATAATTAAAGAAACTAATTCAGGCTAATTCATCGGAAGGTCAAATACTGAAGCTGAAGCTTAAATACTTCGGCCCCATAAGGAGAAGACAGGATTCATTAGAAAAAACCCCGATGTTGGGAAAGATTGAAGGCAAAAGGAAAAGGGGATGGCACAGGATGAGATGCATAGATGGTGTCATGGAAACAATGAACATAAACTTGGACAGACTTCAAGTGATAGTGGAAAATAGAAGGGCCTGGTGTGCTATGGTACATGGGGTCACAAAGAGTTGGAAACAATTGAACAACAAAACAAAAAATAGAGAGATACATGAACACTAATATCCAAACATAGAAACATGCAAAAAGCAACTCTTTCTCAGAATTCTGAACACCAGAGTACTACCCTGAGAATCCACCTCCCTCCCTCTGTCCCTCCCTTCCTGTATCACTCCTTTTCTTTGTCCTTCTCTCCCTCATTCCCTATGGAGAATCAGTTCACTGAAGGAACCAAGCTTGCACCCTCCCCTCCCCTGCATATCTATTACAATGCCTCTCCAGGGAAAGTCACTAGGGAGAAACCCCCCAGCCCCCACAGCCCACCCACTTACTGGCTGTTCCCAGTCACAGCCTTACCTCCGGTTGCTATGGTAATCTGCCGCAGATGATGGCCATAGAATGGGAAATCAAAGGACAGGACCACTCTCTGTGGGGGATGGGAGAGAGAGAGAGTCAGCATGGACATGAGGGGCAAGGAAAAAGACCAATGGCTCTCACAGGTCCCAAATTCCATTTAACCTGCAAAGGCAGGGAGCTCAGCCTCTCTACAGTTGGGCAGGAACACCCCTGTGATGCCCGGTCATTGGCAGGGGTTGGGGAGGAATATTCAGGCCATCGTTGTGCCCTTCTCTCTTTGACAGACCATATAGCACCAGAGTCTATCCTGGCCCCCTAGTTACATGACGAAATATACTGATGGAAATACTGTTCTCTCTACTACCCAGTAGTAAAGAAAGATATTTACTTTAAAACAGGAACCAATGACTGACTAATTGTCAAGTCCTGAGCAAGGTACTCAAATGTTGCTTCTTACTTGCTGGGTGACCTTGGGAAAATTGCTTTATTACTATGCATTTTCTAGTCTGTAAAATGGAGATAACAATGCCTGTACTGCTGAGGTGGGGGTGGGGTTGTTATGAGGAAGTTGTAATCATCATCATCTTTACAGAGTAAAGTTTCTTTCCTTATTTCCTTTGAATCTCGTAATAACCCTGTGACATAGGCACTATAGTTGGGAGAGAAGAAAGTACAATAGCTCTAAAGTCAGAGGACGTGGGATCAAATTCTCCCACTGACATACTACCTGTATGACTTTGGGCAAGTCACTTAACTTCCCTGGGTCTTTGTTTCCTCAAAAGTAAAATAAGGGGATTAAACTAAATGGCCTCTTTGACCTCTTCTAACTCTAAGGCTATGACCCTATGTTTCCATTTTACAGATGGGGAACATGAGTTTCAGTGAGTGAGGTTCAGTAACTTGCCTACAGCCACAAAGATTGTAATGGTGTCAGAAGTGGGATGGGTGCCTAGGTCTCCATATCTCCAAGGCCATTATATTGGCCATTATGATGATTAGTGTTATTATATGCCATTCAGTGACTGGGGATTGAAGAAAGGTTGCCATTTTAAAAAAGGCACATGGAAGGAAACAAAGAAGTTCAGAAGAGGACAAGAAAGAAACTGGGCAATTCCATTACTACCTTGTAAAATTGAATATACTCATTATTTAAACAAACTATTCAAAGAACTAGGTACCGTTTACTAGTTGTGCAATCTTAAGCAAGTTATTTTATTTCTATTTGCCCCACTTTCCTGATATGTAAAGAGAAAAATAATCATGGTACCTACCTCCTGAAGTTGTTGTGAGGATCAAAATAATATAATGATTGTAAAGTGCTTAACAGTAATTGGCATATGCTAAGCACTGCATTATTATTATTTCTTTAATTGAATGTAATTATTCCATGCCTGAAACTCTAAAATGAGTTTAAAATGCTAAAGGTATAAAGATTAATGACTTTTATATGGGATAATTTGGAAATGCAATTGATGTCATCTGAAGTTTTCTTTCATGGTTTAAATACATGAAATGGTTTGTGTTATTATTGTATTTCTAAATTTTCTTATATTGTAAAATTTGAGAGACCTTTGTAACAGAAATACTGTTAGACAAAACAACTTCCCTTTCAATCTGGATGCTGTTAGACTATGAATTGGGCTTTTAAAAGGATGTGATAAAAAAATAGATATTTGAAAACTATTAAATATTTAATAAGGCATATTTGTTTTAAAACAGATAATGATAATAATAATGTTTAATAGTGAATTTTAATTTGAAATTCTTGGCTACTATGGACATGTATATGGTGGTTTAAAGATGTAGCTTCAGCATATTAATGATGAGTCAACTATCAGGTATTTGTTGTATGTCTGAAGCCCCAGACTATGGATAGTTTAATTTATAAGTAAATGATAAATGCAATGTTAACTGTTAGCAAAACACCAGGAAAGATATTCAGGTCCTAAGTTGTGGCTAGTGAAATTTTTCTATTTAAGGTAAAAATTATTGGGACTGTAATTTACTATTGTTTTGAGCTTTGATTACAGTTGCCTGAATTGTCATGAAGCCTATAGTAGAAAATGGCATGTGCTAAAGTCTGAGAATTGCTAAAGGTAGACTAAGTCTGTTGTTGTTCAGTAATGTCTGACTCTTCACGACCCCATTTGGGTTTTCTTGGCAAAGATACTGGAGTGGTTTGCCATTTCCTTCTTCAGCTTATTTTACAGATGAGGGAACTGAGACAAACAGGGTTAAGTGACTTGCCCAGGGCCACACAGTTAGTGAGTGTCTGAGGCTGGATTTGAACTCAGGAAGATGAGTCTTCCTGACTTCAACCTGAAACTCTATCCACTGTGCCACCTAGCTGCTCTAGATCTATTGTACTGGGAGTCAGAAAAAGTACACTCTCATCCTAATTATACCTCTAACTAATTATGTGACTTTGGGTCAAGTCATTCCTTTCTTTGGGCCTCTGCTGTAGAATGAGGGGGGATGGATTAGGTCATCTCTAAGAACCTTTCAAGTTCTACTCTCCCATGTTTTAGGGTTCTAAGCCCTGTGGCCTGGAGGAGTGATGGGGAGTGGGGCTGTTCTGATATGCCCCCACTGCAGGGATGGGGATCAGGGAAAGAGAGAAGATGCCTTGGGGGCACTCACCGAAGCTTGCCGGTGGGTATTGGAAAGGATCCCATGGACTGTGACCTGACTTCTGTTGGCTTCTGCCACATCTACCCACAACTCTCGAGTCCGGGGCTCGTTGGGGCCGTACATTCGAGAAATGTAGTAGCTGTGGTTGTCCTCCTGTCAACAGTCCAAGAAACAGCGGGACAAAAGCATTCTGGATGTACAGTCAAAGGACCAAGCTTCCAGTACTGGTTTTGCCAACTTACCACCTGTGTGACCTTAAGCAAATCACTTAGTGAACTCCTTTGGGGCTCAGTTTCCTCATACGTAAAATGAGGAGTTTAAATAGATGACTTCTAAGATGACTTCCAGCTCTAAATCTATGATTCTATGATTAAGTTAAGAACAAGGAACATCAGTACGGTGTAGGTGAGGAGCACGTAACAGTAGGAGATGATCCCCAAACAACAGGGTAAAAGACGTGCCCCATTCAAGATTTCTGAGATAGACATGAGGCTGTATTCTTCAGTGCTTCCTTCTCAAATCTTTCTTTCCTTCCTTCTTTCCTCCCTCCTTCCCTCTCTTCCTTCCTCCCTCCTTTCCTCCCTTCCTTCCTCCCTCCCTCTCACTTCCCCTCTCTCTCTTTACCCTTCCTCTTTCCCTTTTCTTCTCTCTCTTCTCCTACCTAGAATGTGGCATCCAAAACTAAACATAATACTCCATATGTGGTCTGTTTAGGGCAGAGTATAATTGGATTCTTTTCTTAATAAGCTCTTTATTCAACCAATCAGCAAGAATTTGCCAAATACCCACCAAATGTCAGGTACTATATTAGGTACTAGGGACACAAAGACAAAAGTGAGACAATCTGAACCCTCAAAAAACTTATGTTCTATTGGGAAAGATAACGTACAGATTACAGGTTGTACCAAAAGTCTTGGGGCAGTTTTAAGCTTTTAAGACTTAAGACTACCCTAAGACTTTTGGGACACCCTGCATAAGTATACATAGCCCACTCCTCCAGATGCAAGGTAATTGCAGGGAAGGCACTAGCATTTGGGGGAAAGGAGAAATAGCAAAGACATCAGGAAATGGCATTTAAACTGAGATTTGGTGGTGTTGTTAATTCGTGTCTTACTCATCGTGACCCCATTTGGGATTTTCTTGGCAGAGATACTGCAGTGGTCTTTGCCATTTCTTTCTCTAGCTCATTTTACAGATGAGTTAACTGAGGCCAACAGGATTAAGTCACACAGCTAGTAAATGTCTGAGGCCAGATTTGAACTCAGAAAGAGGAGTCCCGGCTCTCTATGCACTATGGCGCCACCTAGCTGCCTGAGATTTGGTGGAAGCTAGGAATTCTAATAGGAGGAGGTAAGGAGGTAAGGAGGTAAGCAGGAACCAGGTTGTGAAGGGCTTTAAATGCCAAACACAGGAGGTTGTATCTGATCCCAAAGGAAATAGGGAACCATTGGAACTAATTATGAATGGAAATGACATGGTAAGACCCATGTTTTAAAATTGTTACAGTGGCAACTATGTGGAAGGTGGGCTTCCACAGAGAGGAGAGACTTAAGGCAGAGACTTATTAAGAGTCTCCTGCAATAGCATAGGAGAGACATCATAGGGACTTGAACTAAGGTGATGGTAGTATAAGCAGAGAGAAGATGACAGATTTGAAGAATGTTATTAAGGTACATGGCAACTGATTGGACATGGTAGGTAAGGGCAAGTGAGGGGTAAAAGATGACCCCAAGGTTTAGATCTTAGGAAGGATAGTGATGCCCCAAGAGAAAAATGAAAGTAAGAAGAGGTGGTGCAGTTGATAGAGCACTGGCCCTGGAATCAGGAGGACCTGAGTTCAAATCCAGGGTCAGACACTTACTAGCTATGTGACCCTGGGCAAGTCACTTAACCCTGTTTGCCTCAAAAAAAAAAAAGGAAAGTAAGAAGAGGGATGGGTTTGGGACAAAAGATGGTGACTTCTATTTGGACAAGTTGAGTTTGAGATACCTACTGGACATCCAAGCATCCAATTGAAAACAGCCAATAGGCAATTAGTGATGTGAGACTGGAGCTCAAGAGAGACCAGGACCAGATTCCTGAACAATATTCCTTTGTTCATGCAGCCTAATATCGCATTTGCTTCTTGGCTGCCATGACACACTTGACTCAATCCACTACCATTTTCAGATAGTTGTTTACATGTTGTCTCTCCTATATAATAGATCAGGAGTTTCTTAAAAGTAGGATCTTCTAGGGGCAGCTAGGTGGCACAGTGGATAGAGCTCTGGCCTTGGAGTCAGGAGGACCTCAGCTCAAACCCAGCCTCAGACACTTGATATTCAGTAGCTGTGTGACCCTGGGCAAGTCACTTAACCCTGATTGCCAAATCAAAAAAGAAAAAGAAAAATATGAATTGGTCTCAGGCCATGGAAGAGCTCAAAAAGGATTTTGAAAATCAAGTATAGGTAGAAATCAGGAGAGGTAGAGGAAAAATTGGGAAGAGAAATGAGAGTGATATAAGGAAATCATGAAAAATGAATCAACAGCTTGGTAAAGGAGACATAAAAAAATATTGAATTAAAAAAAAAAGAAAGTAGGATCTCCTGCTTTGTTATTGACTGACCTTGCCTGTTTTATATTTGGAGCATTGATTCTTTCAACACTAGTATAAGGCCATATTTATCTCTGTTAAATTTAATCTTACTGGATTTGGCCCAATGAGGAATGATACTAGCCTTATACCAAATCCCCAAAGCATTCTGAGTACAGTTCCAGCATACCCAGTCACTAGGAGTTCAGGTCTTTGTAACTAAGTCTCTCCCCCTTCCACTGCTGGAGAGGGGCAAACAGGAAGCTTTCTCCCAAATCTAGGCACTTAGCATAGGTTCCGCTGTACCTGGTGAATTTTAAACTCTCTCCTTACCTCCTTCTAGTAACTCCTTAGCATCACTGAGGCCAGAAGTACATAGGGCAGATCTTGGTTTGGTAAGTTTTATAATACTTCACATCAGATCTGAAAATTCCACCCAATCATTCCCTGGGGCAAGGGAAACTTGTCCTATTTCTAAGTCTTTCCTGGGCCTCAGCATAGCTCTGCCATTCAGTGTTAGGTAAGAGGAAGTGTGGAAAGATTTTTGTAAAGACCTCTGAACTGGAACACAGGAGAGCTGGGCTATTGCCTCAAGTCTGCTGCTAATTCATCACATATGACCTTCAGCAAGTCACTTCTTTCTTGGCATTAATCTCCAGATTCTAGATTCCAGAGGGGTCTCTGGAAGACTAATAGGTTGGACCAGCTGACCACTATGCTTCTTTCTAGTTCTGGCACTCCAGGAAAGTATGGCCAAGTACTCCTCATCCATCCTCCAGAACCCCACCCTGAGTACCCTCTGAGGGAACTGGGATTCTGGAGGAAGCAACATAGTCTTTCACTTCTTGGAGTTCTTGGTCTAAGCAAGGAGCTTCTAGTTTGACAGAGGAAATATAGCCCCTGACCTAAGGGAATCCCCCAGGCTCTGAGGAGAGACCTGGTATTTGCTTACCCTCAGGGAGCTCCTTGTCAGAGGAGGAGATTGGATACATGCTCTGGATCCAAAGATAAAGTCATTCAGACAAGGAACACTGAGTGCAGACTGCAGGCATCAATGCCAGGGGAATGAAGAGGAAAGGAATAAGCAAAAAAGATTGGAGTTAATCCAAGAAGTCTTCTGGAAAGAGGGGAATCTCAAAACCAGATTTGAATGTGAGAAGATATAAGTGAGCTGGAAGAAAGGAGTGGAAGCTCATAGGGAGGAAGAAGATGGGAGGATCAGGCTGGGCAATGATATGAACTGTATGCAAAGGAGGGGGAGCAGATTCTCAGGGATGTAGGAAGGAGAAAGAAAGTGGCCTCGAGACTGATGGAGGGGGTGCATGGGACAAACTTTCCAATATGGGTCATTAATCAGGCTGCCAAGAGGTGGCTGCTGGGGCCAGCATGGCAAGAGAGTTGAGCCAGGGCAAGCTTCTCCCCAGAGAGACAATGTTCTCACTGCCAACCTTCATCAGTGTGATCCCAACCTTGTCTAGATCCCTGTGGGAGGCTGGGCCTTCCCTAGCCATGGCAGCAAGAATAAGCTCCTGGAAAAGAAGAATTCTTTCTCTGCTCCAATCCATCAGCCAAAAAGAGGCCAGGTCAGTTCCCTTTGGAGAGAGAGAAAGAGAGAAAGAGAGAAAGAGAGAGAGAGAGAGAGAGAGAGAGAGAGAGAGAGAGAGAGAGAGAGAGAGAGAGAGAGAGAAGAGAAGAGAGGAAGGAAAAAAAGGAAGAAAGAAAGGGAAGGAGGAAGGAAAGATGGAAAGAAGAAAGAGAAAGGGAGGAAGGGAAAAAGGAAAAAAGAAAGAAGGAAGAAAGTAAAATGAAGAAAGGGAGGGAGAAAGGGAGGAAGGGAAGAAAGAAAGAATGAAGGAAGAAAAATGAAGAAAGGGAGGGAGGGAGGAAGGAAAGATAGAGAGAAGAAAGAAAAAGGGAGGAAGGGAAAAAGTAAAAAAGAAAGAAGGAAGAAAGAAAAATGAAGAAAGGGAGGGAGAAAGGGAGGAAGGGAAGAAAGAAACAAGGAAGGAAGAAAAATGAAGAAAGGGAGGGAGGGAGGGAGAAAGGGAAGAAGGGAGGAAAGAAAGAAAGAAGGAAGGAAGAGAAAGGGAGGAAGGGAAAAGAAAGAAATGAAGAAAAGGAGGGAGGGAAGGAGGAAGGAAGGAAGAAAAGGATGAAAGAAGGAAGAGAAAGAAACACTTACAACACATAGACATGGTGCTAAGTGCTGGAGGTGAATTAGCTCTAGGGAAGCTCGCTACTCAATGTCTGAGGAGGGAACCAGCACTATTTGCCCTTTTCTAAGGCAGGGAGAAGCAGTAGCAGCCTGAGCCCAGGATGCCACTAGAAGCAATATTGGATATAAACCTTCTTCCCTAAAAAAAAATGTGCTGATCTTTTTCTTGCTGTTACTCAGGATCTTCAAGTGGAGTTTAAATCCAAGTCTTCCTGATTCCAAGTCCAGTATTCTATCCACTGCCTGTTCACAGAATACCTCAAACCCTAAACGTGTTCCCCTCTGATTCTGCTACTAGGAATGTACTACCTCTAGCTAGTCAGTCATTCATGCCCAGAGTCATAACTAGAGTGAGGCAGTTGGGGC